TGCTTCTTTATACATAGTATCTATGTATAATGCTTAAAGAGTCATCCTAACTCTTTAAGATCCAGCTAATTTTTTTCTGAAGTGATGAACACAACATGATGTATATAAAATATCTCAAAAATGCACATTCATGTGTATCCCCAAGAAAAAGCATCATCTGAAGAGAAAATAAATAAATTTGCAAATCAATGAAATGTTTTAATTTGATAGAAGAATTTAAATAATATATATATTTTAAACTTGTTTATTCTTTTGAGAAATAAGTCAAAGGAAAATTTCCAAGCTCTGTCTTCTGCTTAGGTTTCATTTAGCCTCCTAGATCTGTGGATTTATAGCCCTCATCACATTGGAAGATTTAAAAAAAATTTTTAACTGTTTTCCCTGAGTCCTTTTGATTGAGGACTCCAATTATATGTATATAAAACTGTTTCAAATGGTTCTATGACTCACTGATGCCCTGTTTATGTTTTAGTTCCCAGTTTTGAAGTTTTTATTTTTGGTTCTGGATTTTATTCTAGATAATTTCTAGGGCCATGTCTTCAAGTTCACTAATATTTTCTTTAACAGCAATTTATTTGTTCTTTATCTCATCCATTGTATTTGTTATTTCAGTGTCTATTTTTTCATCCTTAGAAGTTTGATTTAGATTATTTTTTGCATTTTCTATATTCTCTATTCAACATTTTCAATGGCTCCTCTACCTCCTTGAGCCATACATATATGCAGTTTAACAACTCTTTTCCTGTTTCTTTAATTACATTTATTATTTGTACCTGTGAATCTGCTTTCACTGACTAAATTTTCTTTTTTTTAATTGCATTTTAGTTTTGGGGTACATGTGAAGAATATGCAAGATAGTTGCATAGGTACACATGTGGCAGTGTGATTTGCTGCCTTCCTCCCCTTCACCTATATCTGGCATTTCTCCCCATGCTATCTCTCACCAGCTCCCCACGCTCCACTGTCCCTCCCCTAGTCCCCCTAAAAGACCCCAGTGTGTAGTGCTCCCCTCCCTGTGTCCATGTGTTCTCATCGTTCAACACCTGCCTATGAGTGAGAACAAGCGGTATTTCTACTCCTTATGGATTGCCTGCTTCTTGGCATGCAGTTCATTTATATTTATTGGACAATAGTTTCTGTGAATTTTATCTTCTTGAGTGATAGATCCTTTTTTTTTTTAAATTCCCTATAAACTTTCTTGAACTTCTTCTGAGGTACAGTTACATTTCTTTGAAAGGGTTTGATATTTTGGAGACTTGTTTTTAAAATCTGCTTGATGATACCAGAGCAATTATTAGTTTAAGACTAATTCTGTCATGTTACTGATTCAGTACTCTTCTGATTACTCTACTTTGTGACTTGTGAATCACAAGTCTTTTTCCTCTTTGATAGTGGCAACAAGAATTATTCCTGGCCTTGGATATGCTTAAAGTGATAAGATAATCTTTTCAGGAGGTTATTTCACTGGCCTCGAATCATTTCCTCAATCTTATATGCTGATCATTTCCTAGCTAAGAGCTTCTAGGGTGAACTTCTGCAGATTTCTGGAGGTTTCCTTCTGTGCAGCTCTCTTTTCTATGGGGTTTTCTACAACAAACTCTAGATACCTTTACTTCCACAGACATTTGCTTCTCTTTTCTCAACTCCGCAAGACCGCTAGGGTCTTGTAGGTCTTCCCCTACCTGTACTGCATCTTGAAAATTTCTCTATGCAGTAAACTGGAACAATTGTGGGTCTTCCCTTACTTTTTCCTGCTTTCTCAGAATTAACTTTGTGTACTCCATGATATTCAATATTTTAAAATTATTTCTGGCTCTGTGTCCCCAACCAAGTTTGATCTTGAATTGTGCTCTGAATTGTAATTCCCATGTGTTGAGGGAGAGACCTCATGGGAGGTGATTGGATCATGGGGAAGTTTCCTCCAGGCTGTTCTCATGATAGTGAGTTCTTATGAGATATCATGGTTTCATGAGGAACTTTCTACCACTTCACTTGGGACTTCTCTCTCCTGCTGCGATATGAAAACGGACATGTTTGCTTCCCCTTCTGCCATAATTGTAAGTTTTGTGAGGCTTCCCCAGCCATGCTGAACTGTGATTCAATTAAACCTTTTTTTTTAATAAATTACACAATCTCAGGTATTTCATCACAGCAATCTGAAAATGAACTAATACAGAAAATTGGTACCACAGACAGTGGGAAAGCAGCTTTAAAGATACTGAAATTTGTGAAAGAAACTTTCATACTAGGTAATAGGCAGAGGTTAGAACAGTTTAGAGGGCTCAGAAGAAGACAGGACAATGTGGGAATGTTTACAACTTCCTAGAGATTTGGAGGACTCAGAATTTCTGACAGGAAGATGTGGGAAAGTTTGGAACTTCCTAGAGACTTAACGAATAACTTTAACCAAAATGCTGATAATGATATGGACAACAAAACCCAAACTGTGGTGGTCTCAGGTGAAAATGAGGAACTTGTGGGGAGGTGAAATACAGGTCACTCATGCTATGCAAAGAGACTGGTGGCATTTTATCCCTGCCACAGAGATCTGTGGAACTTTGTACTTGAGAGAGATGATTTAAAGTATCTAGTGGAAGAAATTTCTAAGCAGCAAAATACTCAAGAGGAAGCAGAGCATAAAACTTTTGAAAATGTTATACCTGATTATGTGATAGAAAAGAAAACTCCATTTTCTGGGGAGAAATTCAAGCTGGCTACATAAATTTGCATAAGTAATAGTCACCAAGAAAATGGGGCAAATGTCTGCAGGGCATATCAGAGACCTTCACCACAGTTCCTCCCATCACAGGCCTAGAGGCCTAGAAGAAAAATGTGATTTCCTGGGATAGGTCCAGGGCCTCCCTACTGTGTGTAGCCTTGAGACTTGGTGTCCTGCATTCCAGCTGCTCCAGCCATGACTAAAAGGGACCAACATACAGTGTAGGGGTATTGCTTCAGTGGGTGCAAAGCTGCAAGCCTTGAGCTTCCACATCGTGTTGGGCCTGCAGGTGCACAGATGATAAGAATTACATTTTAGGAAACTCCCCCTAGATTTAAAAGGTTGTATGGAAACCACCTGGATGTCCAGGGAGAAATATGCTACAGGGAGGAGCTCTCATGGAGAACCTCTGCTGGGCCTGCACAGTTGGGAAATGTGGGGTCAGAGCTCCCACAGAGTTCCCACTGGGGTTCTGCCTAGTGGAGCTATGAGAAAAGGGCCACCCTCCTTCAGATCCCAGAATGGTAGATCCACCCACAGCTTGCACTGTGCTCCTGGAAAAGCTGCAGACACTCAATGCCAGCTGGTTAAAGCAGCCACCAAGGTATGATGTACCTGCAAAGGCAGAGGAGCAGAGCTGCTCAAGCCATGGAAGTCCTCATCTTACATTAAATTGATGTGAATGTGATACATGGAGTCAAAGGAGATTATTTTGGATCTTTAATGTTTAATGACTGCCCTATTGGATTTTGGACTTGCATGGGACCTGTAGCGCCTTCATTTTGGCCAATTTATCACTTTTGGAATGCCTCTATTTACCCAATGCCTGTACCCCCACTGTATCTAGGAAGTGACTAACTTGCTTTTGATTTTACAGGCTCATAGGTGGAAAGGATTTCTCAGATGAGACTTTGGACTTGGACTTTTGGGTTAATGCTGAAATTAGTTAAGACTTTGGAGAACTGTTGGAAAAGCACAATTGTGTTTTTAATTTTGAGGACATGAAATTTAGGAGGGGCCAGAAGCAGAATAATACCTGAATCTTATCTTGAATTGTAATCTAAGTTGTAATCCCAGTGTATTGGGGGAGGGACCTCTTGGGAGGTGATTAGATCATAGAGGCTGTTCTCCCATGCTGTTCTCATGATAATGAGTGAGTTCTCATGAGACCTGATAATTTTATAGGGAATGTCCCCCTTTTGCATGGCACTTCTTTCTCCTGTCACCATATGTAAATGGACGTGCTTGCTTTCCCTTCTGCCATGACTGTAAGTTTCCTGAGGCATCCCCAGCCATGGGGAACAATGAGTCAATTAAACCTCCTTCCTTTATAAATTACCCAGTCTTCAATATTTCTTCATAGAAGCAGGAAAATAAACTAATACAAATTTCTTCTGGTGGGAGTATAAATTCAATCATGTCTGCCTCATGTTAGCTGGGAGAGAAGACATCTTGATGACTGAAATAGCTATTTAGCAGTTTCTCCTATAATCCCACCATAGAATGACTCAATTATTTTTTGAAACTTATTAGTTCTTTTGACTCTAGATAACTGCATTTTACTACAAAGGTTTTTGAGATTTTCTTTCTGCATATTGGTCACATGTCCCTGACATGTTTTTTTAAAAAAGCATTATGTACATGATTTCTGTTGGCTTCTGTTATTCAGTAATTTAGGCTTTAACAGCCTCTTTCTTGAAACCTACATAATCCATAGGCATAATATTAGGAAGTATTTAGATAGTTGGGTACTCTGTTCCTCTAAACTTGTTGTTTGATGTCTTGCTTTTTGACTCTGAACCTCTATCACACAATTGTTCCTTGCTATGAAAACATTTTTGAATATTTTTGTGTAATTATGGCAGAAAATATAAACTCACAGAATTTGCATTATTTTAAGCCAAGATAGGTAGACCACCACTTAGAGGCAAAATCTGAGTGAAACCTATTTTTATTAATAAAATTTTATCTTATTTGTTTATATATTGTTCATGGCTGCTTTTTAAGGGCATTGGCAACATTGGCTAGTTGGGACACAACCCGTATATCTTGCAAAGCCTGAAATATTTCCTTTCTGAACCTTTACTGAAAGTTAAGCTTGCAAGCCTGTTTCAGTCTTTAAGTATAGTGTGTTTGTTTGTGTTTGTGTGTGTGTGTGTAAGTCTAAGTGCCCAAGCATGTATGTATATTTAAATTTTATATAGCAAAACCAGAATTGTTTTAAGAATTAGTATTGCTTTTTCACAACGGGGTTTGCTGCCAGAACACATGTGTCATAAAAACTACCCCTAAAAGCCAAAATGGGAGAGGAAAAGAGTCATCAACATTGTCGTCATTGGACATGTAGATTTAGGCAAGTCTACCACTACTCGCTATCAATCTACAAATGCGGTAGCATCAACAAAAGAACCATTGAAAAATTTGAGAAGGAGGCTGCTGAGATGGGAAAGGACTCATTCAAGTATGCCTGGGTCTTGGATAAACTGAAAGCCAAGCATGAACATGGTATCACCATTGATACCTCCTTGTGGAAATTTGAGACCAGCAAATACTACCTGACTATCATTGATGCCCCAGGACACAGAGACTTCATCAAAAACATGATTATAGGGACATCTCAAGCTGACTGTGCTGTCCTGATTGTTGCTGCTGGTATTGGTGAATTTTAAGCTGGTATCTCCAAGAATGGGCAGACCTAAAAGTATGTCCTTCTGGCTTACACACTGGGTGTGAAACAACTAATTGTTGATGTTAACAAAATGGATTCCACTGAGCTACCCCACAGCCAGAAGAGACATGAGGAAATCGTTAAGGAAGTCAGCACTTACATTAAGAAAATTGGCTACAACCCTGATGCAGTAGCATTTGTACCAATTTCTGATTGGAATGGTGACAACATGCTTGAGCCAAGTGCTAATGTGCCTTGGTTCATGGGTTGGCAAGTCACTCATAAGTATGGCAATGCCAGTAGAACCACTCTACTTGAGGCTCTGGACTGCAGTCTACCACCAGCTTGTCCAACTGACAGGCCCTTGTGCCTGCCTCTCCAGGGTGTCCATAAAATTGGTGGTATTGATACTGTTCCTGTTGGCTGAGTGGAGACTGGTGTGGTGGTTACCTTTGCTCCAGTCAACCTTACAACTGAAGTGAAATCTGTTGAAATGCACCATGAAGCTTTGAGTGAAGCTCTTCCTGGGGACAATGTGGGTTTCAATATCAAGGATGGGTCTGTCAAGGATGTTCATCATGGCAATGTTGCTGGTGACAGCAAGAACAGCCCGCCAATGGAAGCAGCTGGCTTCACTGCTCAGGTGATTATCCTGAACCATCCAGGCCAAATCAGTGCTGGCTATTCCCCTGTACTGGATTGCCACACGGCTCACATTGCATACAAGTTTGCTGAGCTGAAGGAAAAGATTGATCGCCACTGTGGTAAAAAGCTGGAAGATGGCCCAAAATTCTCGAAGTCTGGTGATGCTGCCATCGTTGATATGGTTCCTGGCAAGCCCATGTGTGTTGAGAGCTTCTCAGCCTATCCACCTCTGGGTCGCTTTGCTGTTCGTGTTATGAGACAGGCAGTTGTGGTGGGCATCATTTAAGCAGTGGACATGAAAGCTTCTGGAGTTGGCAAGGTCACCAAAGCTCAGAAGGCTAAATGAATATTTTCCCTAATACCTGCCACCTTGGTCTTAATCAGTGGTAGAAGAACAGTCTCAGAACTACTTGTTTCAATCAGCCATTTAAGTTTAGTAGTAAAAGACTGGTTAATGATGACAATGCATTGTAAAAACTTCAGAAGGAAAGGAGAATGTTTTGTCGACCACTTTGGTTTTCTTTTTTACCTGTGATAGCTTTAAGTTATTCGTTTTTAAAATCAGTACTTTTTAATGAAAACAACTTGACCAAAAATTGTCACAGAATTTTGAGACCCATTAAAAAAGTTTAATGAGAAAAATAAAGGAATTAGTATCTATGTAACTAAATTAGAATTTCAACTACAATTCATATCAACTATTTGGTTTTGGTCAAGTTAACTAACCTGTTTCAAATAGCCTATATTCAAAATGGGAATATTTATATCTTTAATACTTTTAATTAGGAATTAGTGATAAAATACACAGAACGTGCTTCATGCATAGTATGCATTCGATATCATCCTTATTACCTCCATTGCTAGAATGAAATTGTAAAGTATAAAATACCGTGTAGGAAATGTATATGTTACTTTGATCATTGGAAATTTGTTTCTTTCATTTATGTCTAAGTACCTGAGGTTAAACTCTAAATACTAAGTTCTTATAACAAGCAAGTCACTTACACAAAAACCTTCAATAAGCGCCTTATTTATAGACTGAGGTTTTTGGCAAATTAAGTCACTTACAATGATGTGATATTATAAGGAAAGTTTTCTTTACAGTGTACAGATATGTTTTATAGCAGTAATTATTCTTCAAAATGTTCCTGTTGAAAAGCAGTCTTCTCTCTCCGTTTTCTTTTCTTCTTTGAAAGTTTATTTACTATTCAGTGTGTAATGTTTTAGAGATCCAGAATTCCAACAAGAAAAAAGTTCCCTTCTAAGCTGAGTTAAAGTATATTATGCCTGTACCATTTCTGTACACTCCTATCTTCACCTTTTTAAGTGCTAAAAATCCATTTTCATATTTGAGTTATTTAATCAGTTCATTTCCCTTAGTGGCAACTTCTTCTTGTATTAAACAAAATGAGGAAAGTTTTTATAGTTGTGAATATCCTCTAGCTCTTTTGGGACTGAAAAGACCTTGAAAGTGTTTCTCCCTACAGGACTGAGGAAGAAAGTCTTTGTGCAGGCTACACGAGGGAACTGTTTTTTCTCTTGGCACATTTACTCTGTGGTGCACAGAAGTTTGATGTTTGCTTTTCTTTGTAAATCTGATGCTGAAGTACTGATGGCTAGGCTTTAGCTTCTGTATCCAGTCTAAAATGCCCATAGGGAAAATATAAAGAACTAAATTAAAAATTGCAACTGCAGAGAACTGAAATCATTTGGCTAGGCAAAGCTTTGATTTCTACTAGGCTTCTTCACATCCTCAATGTTCTAAGGATATATAATTTCCTGTGGTACATAATTCTAGAATTAAAGCAAAATATTTAAAAATACACTTATATTATTCATGTATATGGATTAAAACCAAGAGAAAACTGGAAAATGAATATGGTTCGATTGGTTTGGTCATGGGTTTGAAACACATCATTTATTTGTAAAGTTTTGAAATGTTTTATGAGAAAATAACATTTTTAAACATTGACAAGTGAGTAAATAATAAAATGTGAAATTATTTTTCTGAAAAAAAGTTATACTCTATGCTTTGCATATAACTTTAAAACACAATTTGAATTTTTATTAATAGTAGGTATTAAGAAAATACTTTTCATTTTAAATGTTTCTCCTGTTTCAATTTAGCCTTTATAAAAATGCTTTGAAAATAAAATTTTGTCCCAAACTTTTTTTCTTTAAAATAATTCACTAATTAACCAACCACTTAATGTTGATGTTGTTAATGCTGGGCTAGATATCTGAAGTTATATACCAAAATTGGTAAGTCTCAGCCTTAGTTATTCAGTGCTTTAAATAAAGGATAATTAGAATCAGAATTTAAAATGACATCAACAGACTAGTATTTACCTTGTGGAGATCTTGCATCTGGTCAAACAGCCATAGTAGTCAAGATAGAAGATATGGCTCTGTGTATAACACACATTGAAACATATTTGGCATCTTAGTTAACACATTGGTTAAAATATTTAGTTACAGTAAGTGTAATTTAGCTACATGGAAAAGTAATATAACTCGATGGAAAATCTACCAAAAGAAGAATTTCCCAGAAAAGATATTGAGAGTCCCATTCATCTGGCTAAATAATATCTTTAATATCCTATTTATTTCTGGCTGCTGGATTTTAGGAGAAATAAATTCACAACTGAACCCATTAAGGAAGTGAAGACATTCTGAAAACATCATTTAGAGAATAGTTGAAGGAATTAGGCAGGCCTACCCTGGAAAATAAAACAAGCCAGGAGGAACACGTTTGTTATGTTACTCCCAAATATTTAAAGAATGACAAATAGTAAAGAGATAGAAATGTTTTGCTCTGGCTGCAGGACCATATAATTAAGAACAATTGACAGCTTAGGGAGATGTGTGTGTGCTCAAAAGGAAGCAGAAATTTTGTACAATTTAGAGGTAAATATCGGTAATTTTGAGTGGTGCCCATTTCCCAGACACTCTTAGATCATCTGTCTAGAACATGTTAATAAAATTGAGGGATAGTTAGATAAATCAAATCATTTAAGGTTCTTTCAAATTCATAGAGCATGTAAGCTGTAAATTTCCTCATAAAAAAGCAAAAGCTTATTACTATTGTTATTTTGCACAGAATTATCTGTCCCTATTCTTTAGGTTTTATACTTGCTATTTACATTAGACCTAGTCTAGAAAGGCATTAAATAGGTTAAAATGATTTAAGTTGAATGCAAATCTGAATAGATTTTGATTTTTTTAAAATATCATTTCTTAAGTTTTCAAAGTCTTCATTTTTCAGAACAGTGAAGGTGAAAACAACTTAAAGGGAGGTGTCAGCTCTGAAGGAGAATCCAGGCTTAGACAAAGTAGCACCGCTATTTACTGAGTGCAGTTGATTAGCCTAATATTGCAGCATATTTTGGTAAAGAGCTTGGGTACTGAAGTCATACTAAGTGTACATTCTAGCCTTGCCTTTTTCAAGGTATGTCCTTGAGCAATTTGGCTCAATTCTTTTAGCTTCAGTTTTTCATGTGCAAAACTGAAATAGCACAATGCATAATTATAGATAGGAAAAAGGAAAAAATGAAATAATAACTATAAATGGTTTGGCCCTTTGAAATCGTTGGTATTATTGAACATTTAGTACTCTTAGACTCTTCATCTCTACACTAAGAAATTCTCAACTTCAATCAATACAAGCATACTATTCACATTGAGAACAGAAGTCTGTATGAGTTTACGAGAACAGTAGTTTTAAATTTTAGTTGATACTGAAAGTAGAATTCCATGTTTTGGTTGTTGTTGTTTGCTGTTAATAACATAACTTGATCCTCTGCTAATCAATGAGGAATTATCAATTCTCTCTTATCTAAATATGAAAATGATATTTTTCATGTGTCCAAAATTTGTTGAGTGAGCATTTTATGAAAAAGCAAATGTTCAGATAAAAGAAATGCATGTAGATACTTGACTAATCTTTACTTACTGGAAAGAAATGCTGCTTAAAAGTAGACATTATTACTTTCATTTAAGCTCCTTTTATTTAATCCACCCACCAACCAGTGTTTCCTTCAGCTTTCCAATTGATGGCAAATAATGCTCTTTCAAATGAAAAATACATTCTAAATTACAGTTGCAGTAGCATCAGCTAAACTGACAATAAGAATTAAATGAATGTAGGAAAAGAATGTGATAAAAGTAAAAGTGAATGAATGAGTGAATGTTTAAAAAAAGTGTGAATTTTCAATTGCTCCACTTTAAATAATCTTACAAGTTCTGTGAATATAAAAGTTTGCTATGATATATAAGCCTGAGAAGAATTATACTTTCCATTTTTTAACGTTTTCCTTCTCCTCAGTAAACAGTATTATTTAATTCATTTTGAATAACCATACGTAGGAGATTCTAAAATATATAAGACATGTCCTAAAGAAGCCAGTTTAATGGAAAGGGGAGATAAGTTTACAAATATATACAGCTCAAGAAGAGATGTTTAAGGTATTACATTAGAGGGGGAAAAACTGAGCAGTTATACAGATTTAGAGAAAAGAGAGAATGTGCTTACTCTGTGAATTCAATGAAAGATTTAATGAGAGGAGTGGCATATGATGGATACATCAAACTGGAATGTGACATTTAGAGATAGGTGAAGAAAAGCATTCAGAAAAGGAAGGGTGAAAGAAGCACTAATGTGGGAAATCATGCATGCTTAGGTTACATCAGCCATTTTCCTATGACTTGCAGTCATAGGAGTATAGAACTTGTAGAAGCCTAGAAAACTACAGTCCTTTACCAAACAACTTTCGTCATTTAAGGTGCATTCACTCTATCAACAACTCGAGTTACTAGGTCCTCCTAGGTTTTATTTGAGCTCACTATGCCAGACTTTTCTTGTAGAGCTTCCTTGCCAACTTACACTACACCGAAATAATAAACATAACCAGTCTTCTCTTTCTTTTCTTTTCTTTTCTTTCTTTCTTTTCTTTTCTTTCTTTCTTTCTCTTTCTTTCTTTCCTTCTTTCTTTCTTTCTTTCTTTCCTTCTTTCTATCTTTCTTTTTTTCTTTCTTTCTTTCCTTCTTTCTTTCTCTTTCTTTCCTTCCTTCCTTCCTTTCTCTCTCTTCCCTCTTTCCTCCCTCCTCTCCTCTCCTCTCCTCTCTCTTTCTCTCTTTTCTCTTATTTTACCTCAGGATATATCATATTAATTTCACCCTCTCAACTCTGCTAAACTCTTTCTGATCCCTCTGCCTGGAATGTTCTTATTTTACTTTTTATTTCTCTTAGAGACAGAGTCTCAAGTTGAGGCCTAGGCTAGAGAGCAGTGGTGTGATTATAGTTGAACTCCTGGGCTCAAGCGATTCTCCCACCTTAGCCTCTAAAGT